GCCCTCACAACTACAGAGGATACTACCAGTTTTAAAGTTTTTTAAAAATTCTTAAATTAAAAAATTATTCCTAATATATTTTCTAACATTATCTGTTTGCAGATTATGTACTTGGGAATAGAGAAACTTTAAATTTTAAGATCTTTTAAGTATTAGAAGTCAATGCCAACTGAAGATCATTAAAACAGAACATTTCTGTTGTTTTAATGTCAATAAAAAATGTGATTTAATTTATGTACAACTTTTTCAGAATGATTTTTTTCATAAAAGTAGGTTGTATTGGGTATTGGCTCAAGAGAAGAAGAAAAAGATTATTTCATAATTTTAATGAGTTTGGGGATAAGGCAGACGAATGAATTAATTCAGGCCCCACGGCTGCATCAGCAACCTGTCAGTGAGTTGTCCCAACAAATCCATCCTTTCTAGCTAAGCTAAAAGTAGCCATAGGTTGGTTGTACCAATATAATTTAAACCTGGTAAACTGGACACTTTGCCATACACCTAAAATCCCAGTGATTTTGGAGGCTGGGGCAGGAGGATGGCAAGTTGGAGGCCAGCTTCACCAACTCAGAGAAACCCTGTCTCAAAATAAATAATCAAAAGGGGGAGACATAGCTCAGTTCATTCCCCAGTATGATGATGATGATGATGATATGATATGATGATGATGATGATGATAATAATAACTTAAGTCTGGGACTAATATTTTGAAGATAACATTCAGTTTTCTATAATAATGGGATTTTTAAATATCTAAAGTCATTTTTTTTTACTCAAATTTTACAAAATTTGAAGAGAAAGATATAGTGAAGAAGAATAGGAAGAGCTAATTCAGATTCTAAATGATTGTAACCTAGAAAGCTTTTTAAAAAACATTTCTTTCCCTTCTCTAAGGAGACAGAGCAAACTCTCCAAAAACAAAAGACTGAGGAAGCCCCAGACATCAACTCACCAGTGGTGTCAGTCAAGGGTCTATAGTCATTGTCAGTCAAGGGTCTGTGGTCATAAACACAGAGACATTTTGCACTTGTATGTCAAGAATGCTGCCAAAATAAGAGTGGCTTGGCAATTAAACAAATCTGAATTCTTATCCCATGTCTTAAACTGTTCTCAGCTGTGTGACACAGCTTGAGTTTCATAACCTTGAGCCTAAGTTTTGCTGTCTATGTAAATCTGACATTTTATATACTTAAAAGGATTAAATATAAAACTACATAAAATTGCTTGATAAATTCTAAGTTTTAGTGCTGTTTTTACCAAATCACGCTCTTGTGACATTGAAAGACTGAGAAAATCAAACACTAGTCATGGCTAACTAGATTTCCATCAAACCAAAGTTTTGTAATGAACTCATTTTTCTAGTCAGGACTATTCCTAGAAGGCAAAACCAAGAAGGAGAACTGAGTCTTCAACACAGCCCTTCTTGGGAGTCCCTGCACCCACCAAGGCTGAATGTCTTCATATAGCACAGGTGTCTCCACATTAATGTGTCATCAGGGCTCTTTGTCTGAGTCTTGGCAGAAACCTGGCTCTTCCCCAGGTCTTTACTCCTGCCCCTGTGAGGATTTACCTGCTCCCTGTTTAATAGCTTTCTGTTAATTTGCTTCTGTGTATGCCTTCCTGGGAGCCTGTATTCATTTGGACAGGGATCATAGAGAAATAATACATGAGTGCTGTTTTCAGCAGCAGGCGTTCTGGCATTGGGAGTGAACTGAGCACTCCCTCTGAGCCAGGTGGCATGGCATGTGCTTTTTATCGTGTGCATTACCTGGTACAAGCCTTACAGCACCCTTGAGCAGGCCTTATCGAGATCTTCATTTTAGAGATTGGATATCTGAGATTTAGAGTGGTGAAATAATTGGGTGAAGAACAAACATTATAAAAGGGCAGTGCTGGAATCCATCCCTGGGCCCACCTGTCAGTAGACCTCTTGGCTCTCACTGCTGTGTTGTGCTGCTGCCAAAGGCCAATCAGGAGATGCACGTAAGCAGCCCCTGGCTTCCTGAGCTTGATCCTGCAGCCAGGACCCAAATGCCTTCCTGCTTCCAAACAAATTATTTGGGAACTAATTTAATCCATTAAGTCCCATTGTCCAATGTAGAGTTGAAAACTTATGGGTTTTCAAGGGAGTTGGGGAGTTTAGAGAGGGACACCCTGGCCTAGCCCCAGCCCACTCCATGCTAGATAGCTCCTGATTTAAAGGACTATTCTCTGGGCTTCTTCTGCACACAGAGTAGCCTAACTTCCAGCACTCACCTATGGAAGAAATAATCTACTGTTTATATTTGTAATAGACTGAATGAGTGAGTGGATGTGTAGGTAGAGGGAAAAGCAATTTACAAATATTCTATTGGGCCTGAGGTTGTGGCTCAAGTGGTAGGATGCTTACTTAGCATGTGTGAGGCACTGAGTTCGATCCTCAGCACCACATATAAATAAATAAGTAAAATAAAGATATTATGTTCATTTACAACTAAACAATGTTTAAAAAACAAATATTCTATTTTACTTATTATGCATTATTTTATCAGTTACCAAAGTCTAAATCTAAAAGAAAATATGTGAATTTGCTTGTATTTTACTTAACCCAGAATTTTCCTGATGCAGCAACTCTTCCAAAAATGGAGTTATGAATGTCCCAGTAAAGTTGTAACCCAGGAAATACTCCTTTTTGTTTTGTTTTTAAACTGAACTGTGTTTTAGAACAGACAGAATTTTCTCAGAAGTGAAGCAGATATTACATTCTCACTGAGTTAGAGTGTAGCTCTGTGCTTTTTCCCCTTTATCAGACAAGAAGAGACACTAATGACTAATAATGATAGTAGGAGCAACTCAGTACCTAACGAGTACTTCCCTCACACCAGCCATGGCTCTGGTGGATGTAGGTAAGGATATTTATGTCACTGCACATGTTATAGTGAGTACTCATGTCATTCCTCTGGTATAGATGAGAAAACTTAGGCACAGAGAGGTTAAGTGATTTCCTCAGAGTCATAAAGTTTGTAAACGGTAAAGCTAGGATTAAATCCAGGCAGTTTGGCTTCTCATTTTATTTCCTTGTACTATTAAAACAACCAGTCCTCTTCTATCTGTTTATCAACTAAATCATTTTTATATTTTGGCAAAGAAGGTCAAAGCTAAAGTTTATTTTGTATGTTAAGCAGCAATCCCTGCTTCAAAATGGGAGAGGGGCTGCCCCAGTAGGACTATGATTTGGATTTCAAGATGAGTGACTTGTGTCAACAGGAATACACTCAGCTTTTCTTACATTTTAGTAATTATCTTACCTTAACAATGTGTTACTCCTGAAAACAGTGAAAAATGAAATTTTCCATACAAAAATATTAGTCTAAACTTTTTTGGTCGCTTTTTTCTGGTCATCACTAGTTTGAGAAGAAAATAAAAACAAACAAAAAAATACCAAGTGACTTCCATATTAAAACATGTGGAAGTCTTTTCACCTCAAATTCACAAATGATTCACCAAATATCATGAGATTTCTTCCCCCCACCTCTTAAGTGCAAAGTTTAAACAAGTTGTTTATGCCCCTTCTACTTTCTTTCAGCCGAAAGTTAAATTTACTGAGAATCCTAGTATGAAAAGTTTCTGTTCAAATTTCTAAATATTATTCTCTTTGTAAACCAAATCTTGAGTATAAGGGAATTTGTTGGTGGCAGAGCTTATGTTTTTAGAGGATTTGGGGGTTCCAGTTTTGAATGTTAATGCTTTCACTGAAAGAGGGTTTAAAGTGAGAGCAGTAAGATTATTTCCTTAGTTTTCTTTATAATAATTGGAAATGGTCCAATTTCTTTGCATTTTATTTCTCATGTTGATCATGTGATTCTCATGTACCAGGTATTAGATCTCTTAGAATTTTTAGTGGATTTCTGGAGTAGGAACAACAACAAGAACCAACAGAACGGTTCTGTCGCCCTGAACTTCACCCAGTGCCCTATCTGAGCTCTAATAACCTTAAGCGCTTTTACCCAGAACATTTCAGTATAACCACCTGGAAAAATGAGAGTGGAACTTTGGTTCTGGGTGGCATATGAAAATTTAATTACTAGATTGACAAAGCACTTTAAAATCCCCAGGTAAAAGTGATCAGAATACTGGAGGAGAATATCATATTGGCAGCGATGGGGTCATATTGGTGGTAGGGGTCAGGAGGCAGCTGCTGATAATCAAAGGCCTGTGTCCCTTTCTCTGCACTGGCCCCCTAGTTCCTCCTTTGCAACCAGCCTCAAGGGGAGATAGGGAAAGAATCATTTATTCACCTTCTGGCTGCAAGAACTGCAGACTGCAACTGTGGCAATTCTAGCACTGAGGCGAAAACACACATAGGAAAAAAGAAGGCCATGTCTCACTTCCAAATTAAAAAAAGACATTTCTCCATGTTTCCATAACCCGCAGACTGCTGCCATTTGAGGCCAACCTCTCAAAGCTTTCCTCTTTGTCTAGTGTAGTTGCTGAATCTAGGCCACTGTCAGCAATCCTTTTCATTCACTCAAGCCCGTCCCCATGCCCCACAGATGCAGAGATTCTTTTGAGACATGTGTACTCTGGTATCAAACAATGCAACTCATGTTTGATTTTGGATAACCTCGCACTGTTGAATAAAATAACCCTTGAGAAAGAAGCAATAAAAGCGCTGTAAGAAAAATGACTCATGTTTCCAAGCTGTCTAAAGTGATCACTTATCCCAACAAATGGTAATTCTTTCAAGACACAGTGGGCATGCACCATACTTATAAAAGTCTGGAAGAAAAGCCTTGCAAACATTTTTTTTTCAAATTGTGTTAAAATATATCAAAAGAATGTTTCTGGTAGGCTGTACCAGACAGAGTACACTTAAAAACAAAAACAAAAGCCACATGGATGTGGAAGCCACGGTGGATTGGCCCAGAGGGGTCCTTGCTGAACATTCAGGCGCATTGGCTTGTTTATGTACTTGTTTATGTGCCTCTAATTGTTTTCCATTTTCTGCCCCCATTTGTTAGAGTGCAAAGATGTGAACAAAGTGGCTTATTGCCCACTGGTGCTGAAGTTCAAGTTCTGCAGTCGAGCATACTTCAGACAGATGTGTTGTAAGACCTGCCAAGGACACTGACCCATGGAAAGCCAGAGAGAGAGAGAGAGCCTTGTCATTTCATCTTGGAAATGCATCCATCAAAGAGAGCCACCCAGAGGAAGAGGATTGATGTCCTTGCAAAAGCATTACCCTGTGGAAAACGTAACCACTGGTCAGCCCTAGCTGACAGGATTTCAATATTATTTTAACTTCTGTGAAGTGGGATTTATTGATCCAAAGTGCTGGACATGGTGTTAGGAGGGAATGCCAGATTGGAGAGATCCAAACAACACAGGGAGACTTGCTTACTGTGGAACGTTTGTGTTCTTTCGAGTAAATCCAATAGCCTGTTTACCTCCTTGGACCATTAAGATAATTTTTATTATGGACTTAGCAATGACACTGAATCCATTTGTATTTAAAACTGTTTAAAATGTAGCTGTTATGACTTGGTCAACTACAGAAGTAAAGAAGATTCAGAATTCTTAAGTCATACCTTAAAAATATGTACTATACTTTATCTCACTACAACAGCACCACAATTTAAATTATAAAATGGGCTTTGAACTGTAATTTAAGGAGCAATTATAAATCAAAAGTAATGAAAGTTTGTATTATTATTCTTCATTCCACTTAATTTCCTTAGGAATAATCCCCCATTCTGAACACTGCTGTGAGCCATATATAAAACTATATTAAACTGAACAATGAGGGACTTAGTTTAAAGCAGTGCATCAGTTACTGCAGCTGTGCAAGTCTATAAATTCAGTGCTAAAGACTGTGGCCAACTTGCCCTTGTGCGAGTGAAGCTGAGATTTCCATTAAAACTTTAAGAGAAAAACATTTCAGTTTTGTGCAGAAGCCAGACCTGGGGTATGGTGGAGACCAGTCCCTTTGCTGCCATCTCGCAGGATGCCTTACTTCTTATCTAAGTCACCCCAACTCACTGTGTTTACATCCTTACCAGCCACAGAACAGCTTCTGGCCCTGTTGGACTGTTGCGCGCATGTTGAGCTTACTGAGATGATGCCATGCAAGAGATAGACTGGCTCGGTCACAACCAGGCAGACCCTTTTGCAATTAGCTGACAATTACGATGGGTTCCAGATGTCCCTTCTGTGATATGGTAGAAGGGCATTTATTTATATGAGAGCAAGCGTGTGCATATATACATGTGTGTGTGTGTATGTGTATGGGTACTTTTGAGTGTGTGAATAGATACGTGTGGTGCACATAAATGTGCTATTTCTGTGAGTTTTAAAGTAAGCAAAGGATAACAACCAAAGAAGAAAAACTCATGAAGGCTAGCGATCGTAAAGCATAATTTTAACAGTCACTCAATCAAGTATTTTATATTTTTATGAATACTCTGAATGGCAATTAAATGTGAAACCCAGTTTCTGGGCAAGTCAAATTCTAGAATCACATTCAACTAAATTAAAATGACTAGCTCATATCTTACCTATCTTCAAGTTTCACATCCTGCTCATCAAAAGACTCAATAGCTAGATTTTTTTTTAAAAGGGTACTTGTTTATATTATTATTTTGTACTTGAACCCTCGTAGCTTGTAGCAGGTTCTTGATGAATGTGCTTTGTGTCCAGCACACTCCTTTGTTTTACACGTGTGGACACCCTGCAAACACCAGTACCTAAAACTCAACACTTAATGGTTACTTTGTAAAGATATTTGCAGTGGAAGAACATGCTTCACTTATGTCTGTCACTGTGCTCTGAAACTACACATTGGCTTACCATGTATACCATGACCTAAGGGAAATGGTTCTTTTTTTTTTTTTTTCTGAAAGAGAAACTCAGACACCATCCTAAGCTTCCTAAGCCATCCTAAGCTTCTGGGTTTGCTGTGGACAGTTGGCACGGAATGTTTTTTCATGCTTAGTCATAACCATCATATCTTGTTACCTGCTTCTCTCTCAATAATCAGTTCCCATCCTCTGAGTTTTCCAGAGAGAGAACTATTTGTGATATAAGACAAATTACCAAGGCCCTATCTATGCTGCCTTTAGAGGACCAGCCCAAGTGCCATCTTAGCCAATGATGAAGGGAAAGCAGCCCCTGGACAGGGTGCTCCTAGCACTGAATTAATCCCTTGGCGCCTTTCAAAGAACAGTTAACTTGGTGCTAATGTGCCCTGGTGAAATAAGGAAAATAGAGTACATGGTTTCTGTGGCAGTTTAGGCACAGTTTTATTATTCACATCTGATTTTCACCAACACACAAATAGCAGCTCACAGTTTTGTTTCAAAAGGCTAACTTACATTACTGAGTGAACGCTATATTTTTACCTCACCTGGAAACGAGCACTGTGCAGCACCATGACTGGAGCTAGAAGAGGAGGGCAGCCTCATTCCCTCTTGGGTGTACTACAGCTCTAAGGTCAAGATGCTCCCCGGGGCATTATCACGTCGCCCTCAAGAGGAACCTAGCAGAGATACAATAGGGTTAAACATTTTCAGATAGGCCCTGAATTTAAACCTGAGCAAGTGTTAAAAAGAAAATCATGTTCCACAGCACATTAGAATATCGCTGCTACTCTGGAGCCACCCATGTGGCTATATGAAGCTCTATTCCTAAATAATAGCAATGGGATTGTCAGTGGTGAAGGCTGGGCCACCATGGCAGATTCCAAAAGTAGTGTAGATATAGACTACTTAAGGAACCCCATGGAAACTGGTACTCCACAGGTGGGGGCAGTGTCTGCCACTGGTATGAAGGCCTACCAATAAAGGAAAGGTAAATGTACCCCCCAAAATTAAAGCCCTGGAAATATGTATGACTTTCAAATAGTCCATTTCATTAGGAACTTTTTTATTTGAGTGAATGTCACATAGGTATCCTTAATAATACAGAATGAAATTACCTTTGTATTATTGTGATTAGTTGTTGCTTATTATTTTATACTCAGTATTAATGTGGTACACTGTTACTTTTTTTGCTTTTGTAAATTATATTCTAATTTATTGCCATGTTTCCTAACACTTGTCCTTCATTCATTCTCCTGCTTGTAATGAAAATGAAAGTCATTGTAACCCTTGATGGAGTGAATTCCACACCAGGCACAGATTTTTTTTTTAACATAGATAATTTAGAAAAAATAAAAATTCAGCTTGTAAGAATGATTCAGATGGAAGTTGTCTGTTCCCTGAAAAGCTCATGTTAAACTGGGAGTAGAAAGAGTCTATCCCTTGGGATGTCACACCCCCATCATCTGGATTATCCAGGTGTGTCCTGGATTGAGATGATTTGCTGTATCTTATTACCCTTCCCAAGGATTGCACCTATATAAGCTCATTTCAGTGCTATCTGAAGGCAATGGGTTCAGGATTTCTGGTGGAGCTACATCCCCCGCCCCCACTCCATAGCCAGCTATTCTGGGGCTAGAAGAGGAAGTCCAGAGTGTCCTCTGCCACACACCTCCATTCACTGGGTGCAAAACTCTGTCCTCCCTCCTTTGCCTTCCATGTAAATTCTTCAGTGATAGAGAAAATACAAGACATTTCATTGTGGAAAGGGTGATGAACAATGAATCCACATGTGAAGTTTTTTTATTCAGATTCATGGGAAGCATAGAAATACGAAGGGCACCTTTTTCTGCCTTCAGACATTTCCTCTTAGGTGGAAGATGAACCAATGGCTTAGTTTTTGCTGAGTCAAGAGACACTATATTATGCAAAACTGTATTATAATTCAGAAAAACTTTGTAACGTGAAAGTGACCTTCCTGCACGCTTAGCTATTTGAGTACTTTTATAGTGACAACTTCATCAGTAAGAAGATATAGAATGTCTAAGCATGATGGGTGCTTTAGTCTACTCCCCCCTTATTTATACAATAAAGTAAATGAGGTGAAGCCAAATGAGATGATTAGATAGTCTTGGAAAGGTTTCCCCCAGGTCATCCTGGGAGCCGCAAGTAGCTAAAGTATTTTTAAATACTCAGTTAATGAGATCAAAGTTAACAACCATTTAAACCACCCACTGCCTTCAAAAAAGGTAGATCTGCTGGAGGTTTGGGAGGGGTAATACTAATAAAAATGGGTTGCTAGAACCTAGAACCCCCAGATTGGAGTCTACCTTTTCATCTACCATTGCTTTCAAGCTTCCAATTAAATGCCTGTTTCCAATATCTAAAGGATACTATTCTGTTTAGGGTGCAGATCCAAAGACAATCTGCACTCCATGGAGATTCCACCACTCCCCAGGGAGCATCCTTAAACCTTTATGCTCCAAAAGTCCAGGTGTTTTTCCTAGCAAATTAGGAAAAAGATGAGGTGTTGAGCTTAGTAACAGAAATATATGAATTTGCATGATTGGGATAAAATTGAAAGAAGGGGAAAAGAAATATTATTCAAGGGGAAAAGAATAAAAGTCTTAGCCCAGGAAAATTGGAAAATTCTAAATAAGAGGTCACAGGAAGAAGAAAAAGATCAGTCACTGGATAAAAAGTGATAGATAAGCTGTGTTTGAAATTCTGTCTCATTCCTATTATCAGAATGTGTGGACTAAACTAACATGATTAAAAGAATAGCTGTTGGGCTGGGATTGTGGCTCAGTGGTACAGCGCTTACCTTGCACGTACGAGGCACTAGGTTCAATACTCAGCACCACATAAAAATAAATAAAGAAAATAAAGGTATTGTGTTCATCTACAACTAAAAAATATTTTTTAAAAAAAGAACAGCTGTTTACAATAGTTTTGTACTTCAGACGTCAAAACCTCAAGCCTAAAAGGAAAATGGCCTTTTCTCTATCTCAGAAGTTTATTTTGAGATTCTTACCCCTCATTTCATTCACAGACAATGTCTGAGGACAGAAATGGAACTGTGGTTTGAGAGCTGGCTCCCCTCCGTAGGGGAAGCCACCATCATGCTTGTGGTCTTGTGGGGGATGGATACCAGCTCCTCCGTAACCCGCTGAAAGGTTTGAACTGCATGGATGGTGAGGCTAATTTCCATGACAATGTCATGCCTTCATCATAAGGACACCTTGTGTTACACAAGGCCAGTTAGTCCCTGATAGATAGGTACTACCTGATATACCTGGCTCCAGGAATTGTGTATCCTGAATATTCCATTTACCTCAGGCACAGAACATCATGCCTAACAGTGAAATTCCATTGCCCATACTTTAAAAGTTCTGAAAATCCATCAAGAGGTCTCTTCTGAAATCTTGGCTTGGATACCATACCTTGCAGAGAGTTTTCACATAGAAGGGGGCAAGTTATCCTGCATCTGTAAGCCTCCCGGAAGTCAGAGCACCTCAGGTCAACATGAGGTGGCTTCTACCCACTAAAAGCTGATGTGATTCTGGGAGAGGCCTGGTCTGTGCCCCAGCAAGGGCAGTAATGGGTAGCAGGTTACTTTATGGGCCCACAGTGCTGTGCTCATTTCAGAATTGCTTCTGGCAGTATAGCACTTGTGAGATGGGGCCCCTGAAATCACAAACAAAGGTAGCAACAGGAAGTCCCAGTCTAGAGCCACTCCAGGACAGTTGTGGGGCTCTGTATCTGGAAAGTGACATCAGACATGGTCATTCCTTAATAGGACTAATGTTTGCTGAGTTCCCAGGTCCTGCACTAGGTGCTTACTATATGTTCTCATTGGATGGGTTTCAATAAAGCCAGGAGAATGATACCATCAATCCCATTTACAAGGATCTAAACCAAGGCTCGGAGAAGGTGAGTCAGTTACTAAGTGTCCCAGAGACAGTGAGAGGAAAGTCACCTCTTTGGTACACAGAGAGGAAGTTTCCTGATCTGCATTTGAGTCAGGAAATGGGAAAGGACGCTCCTCTGTCAGAGAGAAGCTAACTCACCTGGCCAGAAGAAATGAGTTACTCCTTCCTGGGAAACAATGGGCCCAAGGTCCTGTATGGGCCTCAGGGATCAGGGAAGGGTGCACTTTCGGTGCCTGCCTTGGTAAGTGGTGGTGCTTAGTTTGGAAATTCCAGTGTCTGAGGACAAAATTACAAGTGAAGACCCAAAGTGGTTTCTAAGCATGTAGTTACGAGTTTGTGGGAAGAGAAAGAAAGGAAGGTCAGAGCCAATCTAGGATGAAGGATGTCTGCAAAGCCATCAACAGCCAAGCACTTACAGCTGGGGGCATCTGGCCTCCCCTGCACCACCCTGTGGTAAATCCTAGAGCCCTTCCCTGTCCTACAGTCCCCCACACCATTGCCATTGACATAGGCCTAACTGACCTATTTCAACATAACTGGAGCAGAATGATTCCCAGGTTGGCTTCAGGATAAGCTGTGAGGAAGGAGGTGGGTTTCTCTCTGTTTCAGTCTCAGCAGGGCCACTGGGACTTGAAAACTTGGGCCATCAGGTTGCCGCTAGCAAGTACATTCTCTGACCTTCTGTGGTGGGTCCACAGAGTAGAACCAGGTGTTCTTTTAGCCTATGCCAGAATGTACTGGCCGCCCATCTGGCCTCCTGCCTCCACGCAAGGATGGGACTTTGGCTGGCCCTGGACCAAACAGCTGTTCTGGGAGCCACAGGTGGCCGCCCACTCTCATGCCCAGACTAGCAGCTGCATTGGCTGGACTCAGCCTGGCAAGATGTGTGCCTCTGCCCTCTGCCCCATCTCTTCCCTGAGCCAGGTCACTCAAAAGACTGGGAAGAAGGAAAGACAAAGCCTGAAGACACACAGTGTTTTAAATACACTCATAAGCCAGTTTTGTGGCTCCCAAATCGAAGCATATATTAGGCTCTTCCCCCTTCTTCAATATCATTGATTTTGGTATTTTTTTGAAATTTTTGAAATCATTTAAATTAATTTGATATCAATGAATAGCACTTTAGTTCCTGTTTACCATGTGTGTTATTATTAGAATAAAAACCATTTCCTGGTACTCTGTATTTATAATTAATATGAAAGTAAAGAAGAATGATATCCCAACTTTTAAAAAAAATGGTATCCAAGGAGACTATTCTAGGTGTCTAAATAATGGCATGCCAAAGCATCATTGGACATACTAAATAAACAACCACACAAGTGACCAATGGCAAGAAATAATTTGATTTGTGGTTTTAAACTTCAGAACAGAAAAAACACAAAATTGAGAAATCAAATATCTTGAAACTGAAAAGGCATATGTTGAAAACATATGAAAGCATATGAAGAAAACAACCTGGTACCACATTCAGATTTGAAGTTGTGAACGCAGATTGGATCAGGAAGATGTAATAACATCTTACATCCCCAACAATGTGGGAGGCTTCCGCTGAAGGAAAATGATGATACCCATTGTTTTAATCCCATACTTAATTGCGTTGAGAGATTATTTGTACAAATGATTCCCTATGTCTGGCTTTTAAAAGCAACACGTTAGAATTTAACTATTCAAATAAATGTTGCCTCCTTCATGTAACTACCAGAGTTCAACCTGCACTCATTCTCATAATAAAATCATTACTCCAAAGAGTTTTAAAATTGCTTATTGAGGCTCTCTCCCAGGGTCGGGTGGATTTGACTTTTGATTTTTGAAAAAGCCCAAACTCTCAAAACCACAACTGGAAAGTAATTAGCATATAATAATTTTAGGGGCTGGGGCTGTAGCTCAGTGGCAGAGTGCTCGCCTAGCATGTATGAAGCACTGGGTTTGATCCTTAGCACCACATAAAAATAAACAAATAAAATAAAGGCATCCTGTCCATACACAACTACAAAACAAATAAATAATTTTGGCCCCAAAAAGCTTATGTAATATACAAATTGATAACAGGAACTTTGAATATGCTTTGGGAAAATGACTACTTTGAAGGCTTTCACTCATTTGAATACAAAACGTGCCAAGGTTTAGTCTAAAAATTACTGGCATTGCTTCATAACTTCAATGTAAAATTCATATAGTACAACATTTTACTAAATGCTTTGCTATTTCCAATTCTAAAATTAGTGGGAACCCGCACCACCTAAATAGCATGTTATCTGTCAGGGTGAAAAAAGATTCTCAGGACCTCACAAGGACTGAATAACCCCTGAGCCCAGGAAGCCAATCCACTTTCCCAGACCTTAGAAACTAGCAAGCAGCTAATTCCACCCTCACCTTCCCAGAGTCTCCGGAGAAAACACCCTTCTTCTAGAAGGGCTAATTAGCCAAGGTCTGTCAGCAACATTA